GAGAAGTGGCTAGAAGCCATGAAATCTGAAATGGATTCCATGTACACAAACCAGGTTTGGACCTTGGTAGAACCTCCTATAGGAGTTAACCATATAGGATGCAAGTGGGTCTTCAAGAAGAAGACTGACATGGATGGTAAGGTACATACCTATAAAGCAAGACTGGTTGCAAAAGGCTATAAACAAATTCATGGGGTTGACTATGATGAAACCTTTTCACCAGTTGCAATGCTTAAATCTGTTCGGATTTTACTTGCCATCGCTGCATATCATGATTATGAAATATGGCAGATGGATGTCAAAACTGCTTTCCTTAATGGGAATCTTCTTGAGGATGTGTACATGACACAACCTGAAGGATTTGACATACCACAAGATGCCCAAAAGATATGCAAGTTACAGCGATCAATCTATGGATTGAAGCAAGCTTCCAGAAGCTGGAATCTTCGTTTTGATGAAACCGTAAAACAATATGGATTCATCAAAAATGAAGATGAACCTTGTGTCTACAAGAAGGTTAGTGGGAGCATGATCGTGTTTCTGGTATTATATGTAGATGACATATTACTCATTGGAAACGATGTCCCTACCTTGCAACAAGTGAAGACTTGGTTAGGGAATTGTTTTTCTATGAAAGACCTAGGTGAAGCAGCCTATATATTAGGAATTAGGATCTATAGAGATAGATCACAAAAACTGCTTGGCCTAAGTCAGAGTACATACATAGATAAAGTGTTGAGACGCTTTAATATGCATGATTCCAAGAAAGGATTCATACATATGCAACATGGTATGTGTTTATCAAAAACACAATCCCCTTCAACTAAGGAAGAAAGGGATCGCATGAATAAGATTCCATATGCATCTGCAATAGGATCTATCATGTATGCCATGTTATGTACTCGACCAGATGTCTCGTATGCATTAAGTGCAACGAGTAGGTACCAATCTGATCCCGGTGATGCTCACTGGGTAGCTGTCAAGAATATCCTTAAGTACTTGAGAAGGACTAAGGATTCATTCTTGATATATGGAGGTCAGGAAGAGCTTGATGTAATTGGTTACACTGATGCTAGCTTCCAGACAGATAAGGATGATTTTAGATCACAATCTGGTTATGTGTTCTGTCTCAATGGTGGCGCTGTGAGCTGGAAAAGTTCAAAGCAAGAAACAGTTGCTGATTCTACAACTGAGGCCGAGTATATTGCTGCCTCAAATGCAGCAAAGGAAGTTGTTTGGATCAAGAAGTTCATTAGTGAACTTGGCATAGTCCCTAGCATTGTGGATCCCATTGGTTTATATTGTGATAACAATGGTGCTATCGCACAAGCTAAGGAGCCTAGATCTCACCAACGATCCAAACACATACTTAGGCGTTATCACCTCATTCGAGAGATAATCGATCGGGGAGATGTGAAGATATGCAGAGTACCTACACTTGACAATATCGCTGACCCATTAACAAAGCCTCTTGCGCAACAGAAGCATGATGGTCATACTAGATCTATGGGTATTAAGGGTATGCCTAATTGGCTCTAGTGCTAGTGGGAGATTGTTGGTGTAAGCCCTAGAGGCCAATACTTTTTTGGTACTTGTATCGGATTATTCGTTTAATAATAAAAGGCATTTCTTTATTATGTTTGTCTTTCAAAATAATAAAGTCCCTAGAATAGTTGGTCTGTTTAATGAAATGTTAAGTGTGACTTAATCATGAGATCCCATTAAACATAAAGACATTATTCTTAAAATATCCGTAGTCAAGCTTTATTGCAAAGTGGGATAACATTAAAAGCATTGAGACTATTATGAAGATAGACTGATGATCACATCTCATGGATCATGGATAAAGAGTTATCAAGTATTGACATAGGTATAAATATTAGGAGTAATATTTATACCGGATTGACCCGCTATGAGAATACTACATAGTATGTTATGCAAAGTGTCATAAGTTATTCTCATGGTGATAATGGTGTATTACCACCCTTCGACCTGAAACCACTATGGACCCTAGATGTAGAGTCGGGTGCTTTATTGCTGATCAAACATTATCCGTAACTGGATGATCATAAAGACAGTTGATGGGCACTCCACGAAGCATGCTGAGGGACATGAGTGTCCTAGATGGAATTTGTCAATCCTGCATAACAGGAGAAATGTCTAAGGGCCCAATATTGAACTGGACAAGGATGACACAATGTATGCCTTGTGTTCAATATAGACATAGGGGCAAAAGGGTAATTGTACAAACATATATTATCACGAAAAAGGTTTTGTCAGATCACATGACATTTTCGTGACTTGGGTAGCAGTGATGTGTTGCTAGATACCGCTTACTATTTATTTTATTATTATTTTATAACCATTATAAAATAACAATAATTATTATTATATTATCCGAATTTCTATTTTTCACTTAAGTGCACCGTACCTTACGGTGTTCCTTTGATTTCTCTATCTCTCATCAAACTGTCCTTATGTGTGTGACCCTGTAGGATTTCGTAACGTTGGTAATTATATTTATGACATTTTCGTGACTTGGGTAGCAGTGATGTGTTGCTAGATACCGCTTACTGTTTATTATGTTAAATATATAATTTAATATAATTACCAACGTTACGAAATCCTACAGGGTCACACACATAAGGACAGTTTGATGAGAGATAGAGAAATCAAAGGAACACCGTAAGGTACGGTGCACTTAAGTGAAAAATAGAAATTCGGATAATATAATAATAATTATTGTTATTTTATAATGGTTATAAAATAATAATAAAATTAATATATTTATTATAATAATAGTTATTATAATAATATATAATATTATTATGGATCATGTGAATTGGGTTTTTAGCCCGCAGCCCACAAGAGAGTCTATAAAAGGAACCCTTGTGATGAAGCTTTCACTTGATGCAATTTCGTTTTTGATTCTCTTTTCTCACTCAAATAATTCCGTTCGTAAGCAGCTAACACTGTGACCGGAAGCTGTTCGTGTGGACTGAGTAGAGGCGTTGCACTTCATCAACGCTTGTGATCGCTGCATCAAAGATCTGAATCGCCACAAAGAGGTAACGATTCTATCACTGACCATGCTCATTCGTAAATATCACTGAAGGAAATTTTTGTTTTCCGCTGCGTTTAGATCGCAATTTTCCATCATATTTTATTTCCCCCATTGGAATAACCTCCAAAAGAAAGTTTTTCCATACCTATCATTTTTTGTTGAAACATCAAAACCTCATATATGTTATGGGCACTTCCTAGAAATCCCTTTTTTGCCCACTCGACATCCTTTTCATATGTTATATATTCCATTCCCTTCCACATATCCTCTCTACTAGCTTTTTCCAAATGTTGATTATCTCCCCCCTGATTGGATTTCATCACCACTTGTATGTATCTGGTATCATATGATCTTAATTTCCTTATCACTATCCCATTTTTTGATATTCCATGATCAACTATATTATCAACCTTATATGTTCCTCTTTCACCCCCTTGTTGTAATTTCTCTAGTTGAGTCTACTTTCTTTATTGTCCTTACATATTTTACTCTTCGTTCAAATCTCGATACATTAACCCGTACTTTGTATATACCAAATCATGCACTTCTAAGTTCTTCTTTTAACCTCCTTTCATCTCTCACCCTTGCACACCTTGAAAAACTAAAAAATTTCACTCCTTATTCTTCTTTGTAGGTATGAAGATATACACCACTTCCCATGTAATGCAACTTCTAACTCTAATATTCTTTGGAACATTTGTGAAATACTCCATTCGTTTCAAAATGACTATCGTTTTAGGGGAAAAAATTGTTTAAAAATAAATGTCATTCTCACTTTTTAATGTAATAATAATTGCTATTTTTTCAAATGTGTCGTATAATTATTACTTTGTACATTATTTCCAACACATTAATAAGACTAATGTAGTAAAAGTGCAATATTTTATGACAATATCATTGCATCCCTTCATTTGTGTGCAAAAACCTTAAACAACATTCATTTTGAAACATAATGAATAGTTTTAAAATGACGGCCGTTTTAAAAAAAAAAAATTAACTTCAAAATAAATGTCATTCTCACTTTTTAATATAATAATAATAATAATAATAATTTTTTTAATTATGTCATATAATATTACTTTATAGACTATTTTCAATACATAAATAAAATTAATTTAATAAAAATACAATATTTTATAACAATATCATTAATTTTTTAAAAAACAGTCATTTTAAAATAAAATGAATAACATATTGGAATATCCTCACGAATTGTTGTCTCGTTGTCTTGTCAAGCTATCTCTTTATTTTTCTAATTGAAAATATAAAATAAAAACGATTCCGTAAAATTCCAATTATTCAATTTCAATCATTATATTCAAACAATGGAATCTATCAACCAAAGCGAAGACTGAGTCTGAGTGTTTTGGGTGGGTATGCCACGTAAGACAGATATTCCCACCAATTCAATTACCACCATTTCCAGGAATCTTCGCATTACAACCGACCAATTGAATTATTGTCCAAACACACCCTTCACTTTCACAACGCGCTTTCTTCTTTTATTTTCATTATACCTCAATCTCTCTCTTTCTCAACTTAAATAAAGGTAAATCACAATTTTGATTTCTCATATGTGTCAAATAATCAAATTGTTCATTTTCAATATCAATTAAAAGTAAGCATTTAACTAACATTAAATAATTTTAAAAACAATTTGATATTTCTTAAATTTAATTCCAACTTTTCATAATCTTACAATTTTAAGACTAAAAAGATGGTTTACAGCAACAAAAAAATTTACAACAAAAATTTAGAAAAAAAAGACGGACTTAGAAGAACAACATAGATGATTAAAGAAATTGTCTTTTTTTTTTTTTCATTTAATAATATATTTATATTATATTATATTGTTATTATTATGTATATCATGATCATGATGATCACATGGTATCACCTTCATCAGATAACATCACAATCACAATCACCACCATCATCATCGCTGCATCTCCATCATGCACGAAAACTCCTCGAAACAGACAAACCCATCTCTGTTTTTATCAACACCTGCTATCATACGCCGGCACTCCTCTAACGTACACCGTTCATCACCAATCGCTCTAAATACCCTCAACAACTCCTCCGCCGAGATTCTCCCATCCTGATCCGTATCAAAAACCTCAAACGCTTCCCTCAGTTCTTCCTCTGGGTTCGGATCCGAACCAGAACCGATCCGGTTCATGATCGATTCCACGCTTATGCATCCCCTACCATCGCTATCAACTTCGCTTAGCATCATCTCTATCTCCTCGGAGCTAGGCGGACGCGCTCCGAGGCGCGTGAGAACCGCTTCGAGTTCTTCACGCGAAACGACGCCGTCGTTGTCGCGGTCGATTAACCGGAAAGCCTGAGCAAGCTCCCATTGAACTTCGACCGTGACATCGGACCACGAGCTGGATGATGCTTCGGGAAGGACGCTGGTGGGCGTTTGAGAGCCTCCGGTAACGGCTTTGTGAGTGGATTCGTCAGAGGAAGAAGATGACCCGAAGGAAAGCGGGTCGGATCTTGATACGGATGATTTTTCCTTCTTGGAACGGAAAAGGTGTTTAGGAGATAGGTTTTTAGGGTTAATGAACTTCATTGGACTTGAGATGGAAAATGAAAAGAATGGATGGAATTGAGAAGAAAGAAAGAAGAGAGATAATAAGATAAAAGAAGAGGAGGAGAATTGTGTTGTGAGGGGAAAGTGAGTGGAAGGTGAAGGGGTTAAATGGGTGCAGTGAAGGCATGAGTAGCAGGTCCATTCTTTTCTCGAGTGTAGCTTCCACGAAGTTTCCTAACATTTATTGTTTGATTGAAAAGGAGTGTGTGTATATATATTTATATAATATTTTTTTAATTTGAATTTTTTGTTCTTTATTCGTTGTCATTAATTAATTCATCGGTAGTTATTACCAAAAATATTTAAAGTAATTAAATAATAGAATAAATCATTTTTTCTTTGTTGTATACTTTTTTAAGGTGTAATTAATATTAAATTATATGGGTGGCATGAGGTGGGGTCGGGTTACTTTCTAAGAATTTGTCTTACGGAATAAAAAAGTGAAAATATTTGTCTAATAAAAATAAACAAACTTTTCACGTATTTTCTTGTTTGAAATATATTTTTAATAACAATGAAAATCACACATTTCATTATAAAAATTTGAAGATTAGTAAACTTATATTTTAACATATTAATATTTTTTTCTTTCTTTTTTTTATAATAAAACATACTCATTTCTTGGGCATTTCCTCAAACATCATTTGGGCTTCTATGCACAATGGATTATCTTGTTACTTTTGTAAAAATTTTTGCTGTATCGCCAATGTGTGAGTTATCTTGTTATTTATGCACAGCAAATGTGAAATCCTAAAGGTTTTGAGAGACTTATTTAATGGTCCTTGCAACCATGTTAGTCTTAAATTGAACATCTCTAAAGCAGTAATCGATTGCAATCTCAAAATATTTCTCAATATATTTGAGGAGGGTCATCATGGTTGTCGTCTCTGTTTATGAGATGTGTATTAGTGTTTACCGTAGAAATTGGTAAATAATCGATAATCCTTCAAAGTTATTAAATCTTTGATCGCTTATAGGATCGACTAGATTGATCATAGTACATGTGTTGTTATTTAATTTTTTGGTTTGTTAATGATGAACATTTCGATAATGTTCTTAAAGTTGTTAATTAAATATTACAAGTTCTTTAAGGAAATGCAGAAAAATAAAGATTGCAAAGTAAAGGCTTTAAAGTAAATGACAAAATTTTAAATATTAAAATTGGGTGTAAAGTAAATTGCATTCAAATGTAAATTACAAGAAATCTGGTAAAATGTGATGTTCATACGTACATTTTCACTCAAGAACACTCTTTTCTCACACACACAAGTACTCAGAGGAAATTTAGAGTTTTTGCACAATTGAACATCCTGAATCCTAATTGCTAAGCCTCTTAACTGTCATCAAACGATGGTCATTTCGCCTAAAAGTGTCATGTTCCAATCTACATGCATTTCGTCGCCTCAAAGCTCTCCATGTGTCTTGAGAAATAGATAAGGCCAAAAAGCAGTTATCCGCCTTAAATTTGAATCACACTTCTTCAGGCAGGCCTCGTCGAAATCCAATCTAGGCTAAAATATTTCTAAGTCCTAGACCATGGCATTCTTCATGCAAAATTCTCTTCGACTAGATCTTCAGTATTTCCCTATTGAAAAACATATTCTCTCTCAGAATAATTCTTCAGATTCCCATAACTCACTTCAAATCTTCAGATACGTTGAAACGTCCTTATCATTGTTTGTTGTCGAAATCATCATACTCCTTTTCAGAATATATCTTTAAATCCTATGACTTACTTCCAACATTAATGAGTGCCGAAATTCCAGCCAACAAATTTCCCACCAAAAATATTTTTTTTATTATGAAGAGAAAAAAAGATTTTTTGAAGCTCTTTCGGCGCTACTACACATTTATTGCTGTGACATCGTGGTCATCATGACCACGCCACTTCAGATGTCTCATCAAGACGTGCAGAAAACCCAAAAAATAATCATCGCACTCCTATTTCATATGAGGTAGTGGCTACTAACTGCAACCGTCCCATCAGTCCACATTCAATCAACATGTGTCCCATGATCCTAACCTCTACTCATAATAGCTGAAATGAACGTTTTTCCACTATAAATACTTCATTTCATTTCTTTATTCACTTTTTTACTCTTTCGAGCTTTCTCCTCTCTCCAAAGCACAAGATGATTCTTCATCTTCTGATAAGCAAACTTCAAACAAACTAAAATTTCCTTCAATTTCAATCATTAATGGCTGTTGTACCCCAAAATTTGACCGACCTCTCTGGCTTATGTTTTATTTTCATTGCATCAGCACATACGTAAGCATTGCATTGCATAGCATTTTACATTTCACAGGGGATCAAGAGATGTGTGTCTAACAAAAATTACCAATGGTTTTTAACCTGATCAAGGAGGTTATGTTCAAGTCACCAAGTGGTTACCCTTATCAGAGACAAGTCAAGGTCCTTGAAGACAAACAGATAAGCATACGTGATTGTCTGGGGCAGAAAAATAAAAATATACGTTGCTTCCATCATAAGATTGAGCCGAATTGGATAGGTTTTGGTTGGGGTTCATTAAGTAGGAATGAGTGAAGTGTATGTCGAAGTCCAGGTTTGACTTAATTCATCAGCAAGAAAAGGATCTACCTTGTTATCAAGGTCATGGTGCATTGATTTAAATGGAGTGTTCCATGAAGGCTTCGACTCACCATGTTTTCAAATGGCAAACATCAAGAATGATTTGACAATTGACTCATGATTAAGTTTGTTCTGTGACTGACTTTAATGCTCAAGGACTAATTCAAAGTATCACCCAAATCGGGAAGAGAGAAATGGAGTGGTGTATGCCAACGCCGAAGGTAGAACTCCATGCTCACCTCAATGGATCCACTAGAGACTCCACCCTTTTGGAACTTGCTAAAGCTTTGGGTCACGAGGGTCTCATAGATTTCTCTCAAGTAGGGCATGTTATCCTAAAAAATGATCGTTCATTATCTGAGGTATTCACGCTGTTTGACGTAATCCACATTCTTACAACTGACCATGCTACCGTTACAAGAATTACCAAAGAAGTTGTTGAAGATTTTGCGTCAGAAAATGTTGTGTATGTGGAATTGAGAACTACTCCAAAGAAAAATGAGGCCAAAGGAATGAGCAAGCGCTTTTATATTGAAGCTGTTTTGGAATGTCTAAGAGCTGTGAGTTCAGTTGATGTGTGTTTTATTCCTCACAACGAGGAGTTACAAATTCATTCAAACCATATACACTCAGTCTTAGTTACAAATGATAAAATTAATGAAAATACTAGGAAACAAATTTGTGTTAGACTTCTCTTAAGCATTGACCATAGGGAAACATCAGAAGCAGCAAGGGAAACTGTCATGTTTGCCTTGGAAATGAGGCATTTTGGGGTCGTTGGAATTGACCTCTCTGGGAATCCAGCTGTGGGTGAATGGGTTACATATTTTCCAGCATTAAAATTCGCTCGAGAGCAAGGTCTTTACGTAACTTTTCACTGTGGAGAGGTACCTAATTTGAGGGAGATATTGTCAACACTTCAGTCTTCAGTAACTGCTCTGCTGATAGTGATGAGCCAGCAGACTCACGCAATCGTAGTCCTCTGGCAATTGACTCTGAAACTGGGACTAGAACTGCTGCTGGCAGTCCTTCCAGCTTGATGCTCAAGGGTCCACCGGCTGCTGTTGCCCAACTGAATTCGAGAGAAGCGAAATATCCTGAACAAACATTAGTCGAAATAATGAGCCTGCAAAAAAAACACACACAGAGAGAGAGAGAGAGAGAGAGCACAGAAGCTCACAAAAAACAGAGAAAAGTAAACAAAACTCGAAAAAACTTTCCTGAACCTCCATCAATCTTCGGCAACCACTTTCATACTCCGCACAAAATCGAAAACTTCTATGAATCACTAATTACCTTGAATCACCATAAACTTGTTTTCAATCGCTATTCCTCTTCCATCAAAGTCTTCCATTAATTCTGTTAATTGATCCACCTCAATCACAGGGATTACCAGGTTCTGTTGCAAATCCACAATATCTTCCTTCTCAGCAGAATCCAACCATGAGACCAACTCAATCCATGCCTCCAGGTAGTGCCCCTGGTCCACAACAATTTGTGCCTCCAGGTAGTGCCCCTGGTCCACAACAATTCATGCCGCTTGGTAACACTCCTCGTCCACCTCAATCAATGCCCAGTGGTACAGCCCCTCGTCCGCAACAGGGTTTTGCAGGTACCAATGTCTCAAATGCTAACATCTCAAATGATTGGAATAGTGGAAGGACTGCCATGCCTCCTTCTAGGCCTGCAGGAATCACTCAATCTGTTGCCTTACCAACGCCAACATCACCGTCTCCGGTCTCACCAATGTCCCAGCCAACAGCTATTACCACTAAAGCATTGGTTGTTTCTGGAAATGGGTACCCTTCCAACTCAGCTTTGGACGACGACTTTTTCTCTTCTGCCGCATCTACACCGAAACAAGATCCTATTCGACAGAATTATCCTGTTAGCAGTGCACCTGCCTCATCGTCCATTGTTCCAGTTTCCAGTAGTGCCAACCCTGCAAGTAGGCAAAGTTCACTTGATTCATTGCAGAGTGCGTTCTCAATGGCACTTACAAATAGTCAGATTCCGCAGACACAGTCTTCACCAAACACAGCCCAGCAAATTTCACCATCAGCTTCTTCTCCACTTACAACATCTGGGAGACCAGTTGGACTCGGAAATACTACTTCTGACAGTTCACAACCTCCGTGGCCAAAAATGAGACCTTCTGATGTGCAAAAGTATGCAAAGGTGTTTATGGAAGTTGACTCCGACAGGGATGGGAAAATCACTGGGGAGCAGGCACGCAGTCTATTTTTAAGTTGGAGATTGCCGATAGATGTCTTAAAGAAGGTGTGGGACTTATCTGATCAGGATAGTGATAGCATGCTCTCTTTGAAGGAGTTTTGCTATGCTCTTTATTTGATGGTGCGGTATAGGGAAGGTCGTCCTCTTCCGCAAT